TTTCCATACTGACTGTATTGACAATACTGTTTGAAACAAACTCATTGTTATTATTATTATTATTACATTTAATACTCTCAATTCGTGCTTCGAGTATTTATGGCTTTATATCATAAACGTGGACAAATCCCTGCGGTTAATTTTGTTTTAATTTTTAATTTTATTTATATTTTATGTAAATCGGATGGAATATTGTGACAAAAACTGAGAATTCCATTCTGTATTATAAGTAGTACTGTTTTTGGAATAAAGTAGATTATTATTATTATTAATTTATCATATAGACACAATTACTTTGTGATACTTTGGGAACTATATCTTTGACATTCATCAAGGCTGCCTCTAAAGATTTAGAAGGCTCAAAAAAGACTAATATTATATGAAGCAAATAGTCTTTTAAGTTGTTCATTTGTGCAATGGTTATCGTCGATAACCAAGTTTTTTCAATTTTCCGCTTTCCCTTAACGCTTCTTTTTATTGATAATATTATCTAGTAGCTTTCCGAATAACTACTTTCAATCAAAAATCTGTTTTATATTGGATATCTTGTTCTCCATATCATCACCATTATCTGTTATAATGTTTCTAGCTCTGTCTGTCTGTTTTCGACATAGAACTTTGCGTCGATGTGCAGAAGTTCAAGTTGCCACACTCCCTTCATGTAGCACACAAACCAAAAGAAGAAAGTAGAAGAAATGCATAATAAAGACAGTAGACAGGGATATCAGACAAAGGAATGGTAATAACGAAGAACAATATAGTGTTCTTGGGTATTGTAAGTCAAAAGGAGTGGATGTATCTGCGCCGTTGAGAACGACTTTCAGCAATATCGCCGATTGTCTCCAGCCATTGGTTTTTACCATTCCGAGGACCCCAACCAGTCAGTCAGGAAGTCTACACCTTCCTACGTGGCTGGCTAGCTTAAAATAACTGTTGTGGATTTCATTGACTGATGAAGCTACGTTTTGGTTTGACAGCCGCTAGCTAACTGTTTTCCAGCCTGACCCTAAGTCAACTAACATTTCCCGTTGTCGAGGAAGGTGATGACTAGGCATACGTAACACATGTCGATGTAGCTTCACAGCCTCATCGATTGATTTCCACTTCCACCTACTCAGCACTTGATTGACGCCTAACCTAAATATTGCTCACCATATTATACCACCTCACACAGGAGGTAGAACGCAGGCACCAATGATCAAAGACAGCTAGCCATCATTTTTATGTCCTCTCTCAACGGCCATGTCTCACAGCCATACAGAAGGACGGAGCGGACTGCTGAGCAGTACACCCGCCCTTTGGTCAACAGTCAGCCGGATATCACGTCTACTCTAGAGAAGACGTAAACTGGCATATGCGAAACTACCCTTCTCTATGTGTGCTGCGATTTCGTCAGCGATCAACCTGGTGTTGCTGGCTGATGCAACTTCCCAAATAAGTGAAGCGATCAACGCGCTCCACCGCTTCACTCCCTATTTCTAAACTAGGAGTCAATGCAGTCCAGTCCAGTCCTGTAACATCATCTTACATTTGACTGCAGGAGTGAATCGCATGCCAAACATTCGCAGATTGCAGCTCAAGGTGTTCAGAAGACTGTTCTATTTTGTCAGCGTCTTCATTATCTTCCCTGCTACCAGGGAATAATAATGTCGTTGGAATCAAGCTAAAATAAATAAAATTTTTTTCTAGCTTGATTTCAAACACTACTTTGTTACATATATAGAATTTTCAGTATATGATATCGGTAGCCCACATTTTGCAGGCTGACACCATAGATATCAGGTGTGCGTCGGCCGGTGATCGAACTCTGAACCAATATGCATGGTGGTGGTCGGCGAGTGTCCTAACCGTGATGCCACTGACACAGTTCAGATATTTCTTAAACTGAAGTGAGTGAAATATCGTAATGTTGTAAAACAAAGTATGAGTTGAATCGAGAAGAGAATAATTATATGAGAATAATATATTCTCGTACAACCAAGTATAGGAACTCAACGATACCAGATTTGGCCATCCCGTGTTCTAAGTGACAGAGACAATGTTAAGCGCGAAACCTATGACTTGCTTTGTTGTTAATAACAATTTTGGCCCTTGTTATTTCCCCCTTACACTCTCTTATTTGTACTCTATAGTGAACAACCTTCTTAAACATACTTAGCTACCTAAAATTATTATCATTGGCTTACTTTTTTTGTACTTTACTCTATTCCTTCTTTTGTGTATCTACTGGGTCCAACTATATTATCACTATGAGTATTAAAAATTTGTCCCGTCATTAACCATCATGTAATATTAGTTTTGTGGTTGTTCTTTGTTCGGCACTATTTAACTGACAATCTTGTTTGTGAACGCCACTATCACCATCTTAAAAATTCTATATTATGCAGGATTACTCACACTACCACAACAAACACCGCATTTGTGCTGACAATAAAAATAAAAACACAACCTGAAATGTTTATTTTATGATTGTTTAGTGTTGTTCAATCAAATTAACTGATCATCTTGGCTATAAACGTTCTTAAGAACATCTCATAACTTCTTGTATGATTATAGCTGTTACTGTTTCACCACGCATACACATATCATAGCTTCCACAACCCAATACTGAAATATTTTTTCATTATTGGTGTCTATCTTCCTTTCTACTTGGTATTTTTATTTGCATTTTTTTGTTATTTTTGTGTTTCTTTTTGGTTTTTGTTGTTCTTTTTTATATTTATTTTTTGTAATACTCCTTTTAAATGTACGATGAAATTAGATGTAATATTGTAGATATGTGGTGAAAATTCCACACTGTACCACAAGTACTGTTTCTGGAATAAAAGCGAAATTATTATTATTATTATTATTATTATCTGACTGCTCTTTATAATGCCCAAATATTGTTAAACTATAGCCCACATAGGTGCGTCCGTGGCACAGTAGTTAGGATGCTCGCCAACCATGCACATGGTCCGGGGTTCGATTCCCCGGCCACAGACGCACTCCTTCACCTCGCTTTTGTGTACATTTCGGATTGTGAGGGCGTTTTTTACTTCCCGGCTGCACACACCGTGCTGTTCTTCCTCCCTTTCTGTTTTCGTTTTTCTTACATGACTTGCCTCATTCTGATGTAGCCACTTTTGTTAAGTATGCCGATGACCTCTCGGTTTCTATGCCTGTAAACTCTCAGTCAGATTGTTCCAAATTGAATAACTTTCTGTCGGAAATTAGTCAGTGGTCCTCTTCAAACGGACTTAAGCTTAATCCGTCTAAATGTCAGGTAGTCAATTTCACTTTCAGGCGTAAATGTGACCTACAGCAACTAGTTAGCTCACATGGCCCCACTTCATTGACGGCATAGAGGTTGAAAATACATCAAATGTCAAGTACCTTGGTCTGAGGTTTTCCACCGATCTTTCCTGGTCTTCTCACATCTTGCTAGTTACTAGACTAGAAAGATGTTTCGCTTAACGTTCTACATTAGGAAATTTAGGCAGTCTGGTATAAAGCAGTCTTTGCTTTCTCAGTTTGTCAATTCTTGTATTCTACCCATCCTCCTTTACTGCTCCCCATTAGTCTTTCCTGGACTACTTAAGAAAGACTTTGCTTCGCTGAGAAGGGCACTAAAAGCTGTTAGTAGGGCAAGTGGGTTATCGTTAAACCAACTGGTGAACACTATTGTAGATAGACATATTATGTCATGTAAGAAACTAGCGAATACAATATTGTCGGACCCCAAGCATCCTCTCTATACGCATCTATCTCCTTGCATTTCATCTGGAAAAACTAGAAGCAGCTACAGGAGGCTATATGCTAGGACTACCAAATACAAAAACTCCACAATACCATATCTGGCACAGCTGTTATGTGATGAGAAATCCGTTAGGTATGACACGATAAACTTACTGCGGCACTCTAACAAATAGTCCCATTAGTTTTTGTTTTCCTTTCCTCGTTACTACTACACTGTTGTTCTCATCTAGTACCACACATCAACTTTATATTTCAAATCCTGTGTTGCATTGTTTGAAATGAAATACTCTACGTTGTTTTTTTTCTTAAATTTTAATATTTATTTATTTTATTTATTTATAACTAATTTATTTTATTTTTATTTATTTATCTTTGATTTTTAAAAATCTTATATAATTTATGAGGTAATTAGATGCAATATACTGTAATGCACGCTGAAAATTCCATACCTGTACCACAAATACCGTTTGGAATAAAGCTGTTATTATTATTATTACTATTATTAAGTTGGTTGCGTGACGAGGCTATAAAGTTACATAGACTAAGATGGCTAGGTCACGTGCTGCGCATGCCTAACCACCGCCTCCCCCGACGGGCATTGCTAGCTGATATAGGTGAAGGTTGGAAAAGAGCCAGTGGTGGCCAAACAAAAACATGGCCTCATCAATCCATGAAATCCTTGACAGTTAAACTGAGTCAGGTAGGGAGATGCAGACTCCGGGTTGGGGCCCTCGGGACTCTAGGAATCAATGGCTGGAGACAATAGGTGACGGCTCAAAATCGTTGTCAATGGCCAGCGCAGATGTATTCAGTCTCTGTAATCTTTCATATTCCTTTCTACCATTACCCATTCTGTTTCACTCTTATACTTGTCAAACTCTATTGATTCTCTTCACTCATCTTCTTGTCTACCTCTGTGTGCTATTTGGAACGTGGCAACTCGAACTGGTGCACTTCGGTGCCAAGTTCTATGTTGAATCCAGACAGACAGACAGACCTTCACCTCGCTAAGCCAGAAATAATGCTGATAAAGAGAAAAGGTTGAGCATGAGGCTAGCAGTCCTATCCTGTTAAATTAAACACTGCCACAGAAACTTCTAGCGACTAGCTTGAGGCCCTGTGTTCAACGGGATTCTTAGTTTTTATAACTGCTAGTTATAAAAACTAAGAATCCCGTTGAATACATCTATATTCATGATTAAAGTAACTTTTTAAAAAAAAGATTTAATTAGAAATTAAAAAAAACATAAAAAGAAATAACACTAATCATCATCATCATATTGAGCAATTACTAAAAATGTCTCCAAAAGTTTTTCTTGTTCATCTTTAATAAAGATATATATCTGTTCCGACGAATTAATTGTTACTTTCGGAATAAAGCGTAGCCCAATTGGAATAGTTCCTCCAGCTGGGATGTCTAGAATGGATTCCTTTTTCAACCATTGATTTCAGTTCATATGAATGTATAATTTTTATTTAAAAAAAAGTTAAAAAGAAAGATGTCATTTTGTCATAAAAGTTTTAAAAGTTTGGTGATAAAAAAAAGGCGTGTAACTGTGAAATGTACTGTTACCTTAGTTTGTTTATTAGATGCATCACACAGTCAATGAAACAGTATTACTGTTTACTGGATAACACAGTTTCGAACAAAATTTATCATTGTTCATAATCATTCATCAATTACAATCACACGACTTCGAAACTTGAGTTTTATAGTTCAGAAGTTTGGGTGGACAGGTGTTGAATCATTCCTATTACTTGTGTTGGTTCGCAGTTGATTCGATGAACAAAACTTCTGTTATCAATCTCTCCCTTCACCCTGCTGGTACATTAGATTTTGAAACTGTCATCTTATCCCATCTAAACTATTGTATGGTTGTGTGTAACTGCATGTAGTGAGTGCTATAGCTGAACTATCCTCTAGATTTCCTATCTTATTAGGGTCAACTAATGTAGATTTTGCTAGGTTTTTATGTTCAGCTAGTCTGACTGACTGCCCTTGTTCTACTACTTTGACCTATCTATTTGACTTCATTGCAGGCAGGGTATTAGATAAACTAAATTCTTTTATTTAGTTGACTTCACAGGATTGATCATTTAACCGACAAAGCTTGTTTCTAATTGAGTTTGTGGGTGGTTTCAATGCCAGCCACTTTTATTCCTGCCAGGATTGTTAAGAATTCTGTGTAAGGTTTCCGAGGTTCCTTCATTGCATAGATTTATTACTGATGATTTAGATTCCTTATTGTTGGTGTCGTTATTAATATTATTATCGTTCTTGTGTTTCTTACCACTGTAGTTGTGAACGTGTAACAAATATTCGCTTAAAACTCTTTCAGTCATCCTTTTTGATTATTATTATTATTATTATTATTATTTTAAGTCATGAAAACTGATATGCGTTCAAGTATAATGACAGTGAGACGATTTTTCTATGCAGATGAGTGATCCACATTGTCCAGCTTCTTAGAGGCTAACAAGCACCCTTTTTAATTGTTCTTTTGTGACTGTGTTTTGAATTGACAAACATTATTCATTTATTTTTATTTCACTAGGTAAGGAGGGGAATTTTTTTTTTTTTGTGATTTTGTATTGGACATGTTGTTGGATTGGGTAGCTGCTTTTTGTTTGACCGCTATCCAAACAACCTGCCTGGCATGGTAGTACCTCAAGAGACATAAGTTAGGTAAGGAGGGGAAATCAGTCGACGAGGCTGTGAAATTACATCGACTGAGATGATTAAGACATGTGTTACGTATGCCTAGTCATCGCCTTCCTCGACAACGGGCAGTGTTAGTTGACTTAGGGTCAGGCTGGAAAACAGTTAGCTAGCGGCTGTCAAACCAAAACGTAGCTTCCTCAGTCAATGAAATCCACAACAGTTATTTTAAGCTAGCCAGCCACGTAGGAAGGTGTAGACTTCCTGACTGACTGGTTGGGGTCCTCGGAACGGTAAAAACCAATGGCTGGAGACAATCGGCGATATTGCTGAAAATCGTTCTCAACGGCGCAGATACATCCACTACTTTTGACTTACAATACTCAAGAAAACTATATTGTTCTTCGTTATTACCATTCCTTTGTCTGATATCCCTGTCTACTGTCTCTATTATGCATTTCTTCTACTTTCTTCTGTTGGTTTGTGTGGTACATGAAGGGAGTGTGGCGACTTGAACTTCTGCACATCGACGCAAAGTTCTATGTCGAAAACACACAGACAGACAACAGTGGAACATATGGCTTCGTCAGCACATCTCCATCTCACTTTATTTTCTGTATTCCACTTTAGCTAGTACCAAAATCGCCCATAGGGTCTAATCTCTTCATTCTCGGGAGCCCAACTCGTCGTTTCCCATTCGGATTCCAATCGAGGGTATGGCGCATGCTGTCATCGTGTTTTTCCGGTCCATTTTTATTTCCTCCGTTATGCTTATTGGGCAACGAGTCTTGGGTTTTTGGCTCGATGCTAGAATTCCTAGTTGGCAATCCTTTCTAGCTACCTGTTCTTCAGTATGTGGCGAGGAGGGTGGCTATTGAAGACAGTCTGTAACTTGCTAGAAATGCATTCGGTGATGCGCCAGGTTGATGTACCATATGGAAACATTGACTGACTTAATATTAGTGTTTAAAATCTGAATCTTATTCCTTGACTGGCTGACTGACTGGTTTCAACTTAGAACTCTGCAACGATGGGCAGCAGTTCGAGTCAACACACACTTCACGTAGCACACAAACCAAGAGAAGAAAGTAGAAGAAATGTATAATAGAGACAGTAGACAGGGATATCAGACAAAGGAATGGTAATAACGAAGAAAAATACAGTTTCATTGGAAATCATAATTCACAAAGTGTGGATACATCTGCGCTATCCTTTGAGAACGATGAGTTTGAGCCATATCACCGATTGTCTCCAGCCGCCATTGGTGTTTAGCATCCTGAGGATCCCAACCAATCAGTCAGGAAGTCTACACCTCCCTCCGTAGCTGGCTGGCTTAAACTAACTGTTGTGGATTTCATGGACTGATGAAGCCATGTTTTGGTTTGAGCACCGCCAGCTCTTTTTCAGCCTGACCCTATGTTAGCTAACATTACCCGTCGAGGAAGGCGATGGTTAGGCATGCGTAACATGTCTTAATCATCTCAATCGAGGTAACTGTCTTCACAGTCTCGTTTAGTGATTTCCCCTCTTCACCTAGCACTCGACACCAAGGAAGGTTTAGTGTGATGACGAGTTGTTGCTTTGAACGCACCGAGGTGGTTTAAACTTCCTAATTGCCAGAAAGGGCTTCCACAAACTTTAGGATACGCCCCAAGCACATTTTATTGATAGATTCAAAAGACGTGTTAACGTCAATTTTATGTCCTGTCTCTATAATATGTTTCGCGAAAGAGGAGCTAGGTCTCCTGTTCTCACCAATAATAGGTTCTGAAGATTCCATTCATTTCTCGAGCCATTTAGGAATTCGCTCCTCTATTGAGAAACATATTATAGAGACAGGACATAAAATTGACGTTAACACATCTTTTCAATCTATCTGTAAAATGTGTTTGGGGCGTATCCTAAAGTTTGTGGAAGCCCTTTCTGGCAATTAGGAAGTTTAAACCACCTTTGTGCGTTCAAAGCAACAATTCGTCATCACACTAAACCACCTTCTTTGGTAAACTTTGTTTTGATACCAAAGCAGGGTAGATGTACTATTACCTCTGTTATTTGGTTTAGTGGTCTTCATTGTTATTTTAACCTTGAATATGTCCTTTTAACTCGACCTAACTTGTATATTTTCTCACCTCCTACCTCTTTATTAATTTCATATGTATTCTTATGATAAGTCCATGTTCGATGGGTGAGACTGCTCGAAATGTGTTGCGCAAATACATTACACAATTCAGACAAACAACGTCTTCTTATTGCTTTATCTAAATTCATAAAGGGAAGTAATTTTTTTTAAATATAAATATCTCTTGAATTTCCCAATAAACGATCTGTTGACTGATCCTTGTCTTCTATCGTTACAATACTACCTGCTTTCTAACTATTACCGCAGTATGATAGTTTCAATCAGTGTTAGAGTAAAAATTTACTTGTTGTATTAGAATACACCGTTAAATGAGAGCAACAGGCGTATAGTTACTAGTGAGGTGGAATGAACCGATCAGTTTAAAGCCGATCAAATGAATTCGAATTCTAAGCACCACTGTAACAACAGAAGACAAGGGCCAAGAAACAGATCGTTTATTTACGAAATCAACACATATTTATGTATTTTCACGTACATTATTATAGATTATTGTAAGCAAGCAAACACAGTCTACTGATTGGTGGGTTCTCACTGAACGTTAATCCTTCAGCTCTTTGTGGCTGTTCCTTGAATGTCAGATCATCTATATGCTAACTGTATCCGCCTATGCAAAGATTTTGTACTCATTTTTCTCACGATTAATATTGGGAACATAAACACTGACGTAAATTACTATCTGCCAATTTTCGCTAGTAGCCAGCCCTCACCACACTCGTCTCCCGCCAAAGACTTGCAATTGAAGTTGGCTTGGTCTTCTTGGTTCTAGGGGCTTTGTTCGTTTGTCTTGTTGTCTGGAATCTCGGCGCTCACTGATGTTCACCTGTTTCTATTTGTTCACCATTGTGATTGTGTCTGCGTAACCCCATCTCAACGTGACGACTATATGTGGTCCTTACCACTTCGGAAACTGTTTGCCTGACCCTATCTTACATTCGTCGCTATTTTGTCTCACGCCTTCACATGCCGCTTTCTCTCGACATCCCAGCAGCGTCCCAAGTAGCAGCCTCATCGCTGACAGACCTTGAACGCCACTCAACTGGACAGAAGCCTCGAAGTACTCTCCATCAAAATCTGCAGGCATAGGCTTTCCATTTGTTGGTAAGCAGCGAAACCAAATGTAACAACTGAAGACAAGGGCCAGGAAACAGATCGTTTATTAAGGAAATCAACACATATTTATGTATTTTCACGTACATTATTATAGATTATTTTAAGCAAGCAAACACAGTCTACTGATTGGTGGGTTCTCGCTGAACGTTAATCCTTCAGCTCTTACCACACTACTAATACTGAACTCATTTCAACTTATTTATTCCGAGGAATGTGAGGATAGGATAAAAATTATGTAACTTACCTTGAACTTCAACAGGTCAGGTCTATTAGTTTCTAGTACCAATGTTTTATTACATTTGTATGGATTAGTATAAGAAACACGCTTGTTACAAGATTCATTAACACCGCGTTTAGGCAGTTTTATATTGAACGATTTTGTAACTTCTGGTTGCTTAGCATCGACGCATAAAATCCATGCACGTATTACTCGTTGACTGTCTATATCCACCACATTGATTTGATAAACTTTCTTACCAGAAGATCTTGGACATAATTTCACCTTCAAAATGACAACAAAATTTTGTTGTAATTATGTTCTTTTGGGGGTTTTGTAATTTGGTTAAACAGTAGTAGGTTATAGACAAAAAATTCGTTGTTCTTAGTTAATATGTCGATGAATGGGGGTATGTTACTACCATAATTTCCTGCAAAGTTAAACTTTAAGCACCACCAACTATATTATTATTATTTCCTTTAATTCCTAGAGAAACATAGGGCTTCAGCTGCGCGTCTCCATTGCCTTCAGTTTTCTGCCAATGTTTTCACCCCGCTCCAAGTCTGCCCACATGCTTTCATCTCCTCTTCACATGACCTCCTCCAAGTCACCTTTGCACTGACCGCTTCCCTTTCGGGTTCCACTCGAGCGATGGCTTGTCTAGTGATGTCACCTGATGGTTTCCTCAGAGTATGGCCAGCCAATCCATCTCCACTTCTTCCTGCCTATTTGTTTCACAATCGGTTCCTGGTTGGTTCGCTCCCAGAGATCTCTATCTGTAGGTGATCTTTTCTGGCCGGCCATCTGATCTTGAGCATTGAGCGAAGACAACTGTTAATGAAGGTCTGTAGTTTGTTGGAGATGCTCTTTAAGACGCGCCAAGTCTCTGATCCGTCTAGTGAGTAGCACTGACTTCACATTGGAGTCGAAAATTCGGATCTTATTTTTGATGCTGAGTGCTGTTGACCTCCACACAGACTGAAGAGTAATGAAAGCTTGTCTTACTTTCCCGTTTCTGGCTTTGATATCCTCATCAGTTCCGTCCGTCTGTAGTTGAAACGATGCTTCCCAGGTAGGTGGGTAGGTAAAGGAGGTTGTTTCTTTCAGATTTCTCCCATTTATGTTGATTGTTGTCTGTTGTTGCCACCAACAAATGACTTTGAACGCTCCAATCACGTGAATGAGGCATTTTTGTATATGGAATATATATATTTATGGAAAAAAAATGCATGAAAACTGCATAAAAGTGTTACAGAGGATACCTTCCTATCACATTTGATAAAAATAGCTTTCAGTTTTAGGTTGGAGTATCAACAGGGTATAATTCCATTGTGGGTAAAACTTATTTTGATAAAGTTTCATAGTGTTATACAGTGATATTTGCTGAGCAATAGATTGTGCTCGAAATGTGGTCATTAGTAGTAAATATTACTGCTGCATAACACTGTGTGACTTTATCAAAATGAATTTTACCCACAGTTGAATTATACTCACAAGTCCTATTCTTAATAATCATATCAACAGAGTAATCCAACCACATTCTATGCATGTAATTATTTAGGTCTTCTAACCCTAACACAATAACCCTAATCTTTCCTGTAAACATTCTTGTTCGTTCTTTCACACTCTGTATACTCGACATTTCTAGCTTACGCAGTAAAATGGTATTACTTTTCAAACACTTAAATGGCTAACCTAACCCTGACGTGAAAATATCCCTAAACTAACTGTAATCTAACTCGAACTAAAATTACTGTCGCCTTTGTTAGATTAACCTAACACTAACTTGTCCTTGGCTTCAAGAGTAACTTAATCTTTCGCAAAACTAAGCTGAAACTTGCCAGATATCCCATTAAATAAAACATAATACTTCGATGAGCATATTTTATTGATGGTGACAACATTATTTGCCGGATTTCACTGCCTTGCTCAGTGAGCGTTTCAAGGTTATTGGTGCTGTCGCACTCCACTGGTAGTTGTTAGTGGTGCTTAAAGTTTAACTTGGCCTGATTTCATTATTAAAAACATAAATTTTGCAAAATTAGTTTCATATCCGCTTTCTAATCACTCTACGTTGTTTATCTTAGATAAGCAAAAATGCATATATCAGACCTGCAAAAGAATGAGATGAAAGTGGGTATTGATCAGGAAAGCTTTGTGTGCTTATACAAGTGTGCAGGCGGTTGTTACTTCCCCGCTGTCCATACACCGGCAGTTGATTCCTTCTTGAAGCGCCTAAAACAGAAGGAGAATCAGTGTTTCGTGACCACAAGGGTTAGTCGTACGGCCTGTTGGAAGTGTGATTTTTGGAGTTCTGTCCGTATTAAGGTGTAACCGTCGCAAGGTGTGGAATTTTCTCGGTCGTTCTTTTCTTTTTTTTGAAGCTCCTTCCCTAGGGCGGAGAAGCAGCATAGCTGGTTTGCTGGTCATCTGAGGGAGAAACAGCTTATTGTTGTTACTTCCTTATTCGATTGCTTGGAGGATTTCATCATGAGTTGACATCAGTTAGAGAATCACTGGAAAAACTGGGAGTACTGGACAGCTGTTTTGTCCTAGTTTGGGACTCTTCAGCAGTACGCACCGGGGTTCGAACCCAGGCCCTTCTGGTTACGAGGGAGCTCGTAGACCATTGAGCCACTGGGACCCGATCCAATTGTCCTTGAATTTTAACTTCTGCCAGTTCACAACATAGCGCGACCATTTCGCAATGTCTTCTTCGATGAGTTACTGTCTCATCTTCAACTTGCTGTACCCTACTGGTCACGGCTTCCCACTATTTCCTTATTCGTCAGAAGTACGACTTTGCTCTCAGACTCCCCCCAAAATACTGCAATCGATGGTAGCTGCTTTTAGTCCAACCACTATCTAAGCTACCTTTCTGGTATGGTAGAACTAGCAGGAAGATTGGTTCCAGACTGTGTGACTTGGTTGGTCGTTGTGGCATGCAAGCCCTCCCACCAGTTTAGGAGGGCTTCGTGTGCTTTTGGAAGTGTGTGGGCGGTTGTCACTTCCCGGCTGCCCACACCGTAGAAGTTGACTGATTCTTCACGTACCTGAAACAGAGAGAGTGTTGCGTGACCGCAGAGCCCAAGGGAAAACTGCTTGAGGCCAGCCGGCCACACACAGCCTGTATAAACTGGTTTCTGGGATTAGTTCCGTGTTAGTAAACTTACCGCCGGTTACGGACCACTGTAGGGAAAGTCAGCATATAAAATTTCTGGGGTCGATCTTTTCTAACCCTCTCTCTCCAGAGTGGAGAGACAGCATAGCTGGCTGGTATGCCGGTCATCTGAGGGAAACATCTCACCGCTGTTACATCCCCGTTCCCCAGCAGTACGATTTCGCCCTCAAACCCCCCAGCATAGTGTAAGAAAGATTCTTACACTATGCCGGTAACTGCTTTTAGTCTAATCACTATCCTAACAACCTTCTTGGCATGATAGAACCTGCAGGTACATTGGTTCCAGCCAGTGTAGCTTGTTGGTTCATCGCGATGTGCAAGCCAGACCACCATGTCAAGGTAGCAGCTATCGGTCGGGATCACCAGTTCAAGGTAGCGGCTATCATTCGGCGTAAACGTGGAAGACGGTGATTCGTATATATTTAGTGAAATTCACGATGAATGAATATTAATAAAGAAGCCATAAAATTTCAATTATCTACATTATAAATATTTTTGGCATGCACTAGTTTTTTTTTTCTGGAGAACCGAATATCCGATAAATGTTGTTAGTTTGTCAAAGAGTAACATTTATGAAACATTACAACTACCTCTGAATACACTTCTTTGGCAGTGTCTCCCAGACTAGGGTTTATAACACAGACAAATGTATGATACCACCCTCAAGTTGTACTACTAAATTTTCTTCGCGAACTATCGCTATCCCTGTTTTTTTTTACCATGTCGTACATCTGTATTGTCCGAAATGAAATGCAATACCCACCATAGATATGATAAAGAAGATTTGTAGCTCAGGTGGATAATTTTGATTTGGTTGTGTTCTCTGAGCTAGCTGGATGGTTAATTTGTGAAGCTTTCATCGCCCCCTACTAGGAAATATCTTCAGTGCATACTTCAATTCGAATTGAAGTGAGCTTTCAAATTTCTCCACAAGTTTATTAATCATCTCTCCTGGTGACTTTCAACGTTGTGATTGGTTGTTTTTGTGTGATTTCATACCTTCTAGGTTACTTGTATTGGAACTGATTGGATGCAATACAAACATTAATCAAGAGGACCAGGAGTCATTGCAGCACTTCCACCTTAAGGAAAACTGAAGAAAGATATCTCATGGGCGTCTTTCAAAAGAATGGATATTGACAGAATTTCATCAAAAAACAAAAAAGTCTCTTGAAACCCTTTAGGAATTGATGTCGTACACAAACCAACAAAATCATTTCACTGAGATCTATGTCAACCATAAGACTCAACAGCGAAAGAAGATAAGATCAACATCATCTACAAAGTAAATTGTAACAACTGCAAAAACACTTCATTGGAGAAAGTGGACGTCCCCTTCGTCTTCGTATCCACGATCATAAACTAGCCGTCAAAAGAGATGATATCCACTCCTTCACATCGCCTCACTGCATACAGACAACCATGGACATCAATTCGACTGGGATAACCAACGTTCGAGTATTAGACAGAGGAAACACAAAGAATGCTAGAGAATTTTTAGAAGCCCGCCTGGTGTTCCAGTGAATCATCAATCAATAGGCACATCGAAATAGATAAAATTTATCAACCGATAAGAAAGAAACCTCACTCACAATGAGTCAAAGTTCAAGTCAAAGAAACAATCAGTTCCAATACAAGTAACCTAGAAGGTATGAAATCACACAAAAGCAACCAATCACAACGTTAAAAGTCACCAGGAAAGATGATTAATAAACTTGTGGAGAAATCTGAAAGCTCACTTCAATTCGAATTGAAGTATGCACTGAAGATATTTCCTAGTAGGGGGCGATGAAAGCTTCACAAATTAACTATCCAGCTAGCTCAGAGAACACAACCACATCGAAATACCCACCGTATATCGCACCACCAAAAAATAAGTGAAATTCACGAGCATATTGAGGTTTCAGCTCATGCCAACTAGTCGATAAAGTGCACATAAATCAACAACAGAAAATTGAAGGTGCGGCTAACTGGGAACAATAAATGCTTATTGAAAGGCTTAATTATGCTAAAGTGGCTGTTCAATATGTAGATGTTTTGAAGGAGAGCATCAATTAAATTGATAATTTAATTTGGATCTTCATATTCTGTTCACCCATAAACATTATTGGAAACATTAAGAAGACAGTTGGAGAGAAGAAAATTTTCTCTTCGACGAAATCATCAACTAGACTATAAATTCGTGTATTGATTATAAATGGGTAGGAAAGCTCCAGAATAATTTCCGGTCAAGGTTCAAATTAACACAATTACAATTAGGAATTAAAATCCCATAATAAACAGGGGTGAGATGGATAAAACTTAAACAAAGTAGCATCATAATAACTAAGCAGATTGACATTGATTGTGCAATTGGGAGGTTAGAAATGTAGAAATAACAAAAAAAAGACAGGATGTTTCCTGCAAGAAAATGTTCAATCAGAACGTGAAAGACAAACTGTCGCATTGCGCCACTTCAACGTACATATACCAGTTTATTTGTTCTTGTGGAGCTGAGTACATCGGCCGTACCATGCGCCGACTTGATAAACGCGCTCGTGAACACTATCCAACCTGGCTAGTAAAAGGAGACCGAAAACGTGTATATAGTTCAGTGACAGAACACCTAGTCAATTCAGTACATTCAGCGCCATTCGAAAAATCCTTCAAAATAATATACAAGATTCGAGCAAATATATGAAAGGGGGTACAATTAAGACATCTGGGCATAGCTGAGGCACTAGCCATCCAAAAGCTCAAACCCACGCTATGTATCCAAAAAAAATACATCCAACCCTTGATCCTGCCATGGCTATTATAAACAGGGATTCTTCTAATAGTAACTATCCCGCTGCCTTCCTTATCCAAACTTCCTGTTTATTCATGTTATTTTTAAGTTTGTCTTAATACCTATTTACACTGCCATATTTTCATATCTGAACTTCCTGTCTATTTTGTCATTTTACTATTTCTACATATTTAATCCACAATCGCATAAACGGTTATTCGTCACATTAGTTATGATCCCAGTAGATTTTTTTATCCAAAAATCCTGCCTATGTTTGTTATTTCTACATTTCTGACCCCTAATTGCACAATATGTCAATCTTCTCAGTAATTACGACTCTAATTTTTGTTTGAGTTTTATCCGTCTCGCCCCGTGTTTATTATGGGATTTTAATTCCTAATTGTAGTTTTTATTAATTTGACCCTTGACCGGGAATTATTCTGGAACTTTCCAATCCATTTGTTATAAATACACGAATGTACAGCTGTCTAGTTGATGATTTCGTCGAAAAGAAAATTGTCTTCGGTGCAACTGTCTTCTTCCTACTGGAGACGTTTAATAGTCGGTTTAAATCGAGGGAAAGAGAGAGAGAGTCCTAAGCCCGAAAAAAAGGCGGAAAGGTTGGGTGTGGAGGGCTAACGATCCCAAAAAGAAATAAACTTAACAAAATAAACTAACCTTTAATTCGTGAACAGAACGTGATGATACCGATAATGTTAATTCTTTTCCTATAGGATTCTGTTGAAAACTGCTTGAACTCAATTCTGTACCAATGATAACTTCGTTAGGATGACTAGGGTATACACTGACACGTTTTGTGCCAATGTTTGGAGAACAGTCATCTGTACGTAATAATAGTCCTAGTGGAGCGGATAACTGTCCTACAGTTGCAATAGCATCGACTCGTTGAAGTGAATGTACAGCCCAGTGCCAGATATATGCTGGTCGAATTTGTAAGGGTTCTATGTAGACACTGATAAGAAATTCACGTACCTTTAATGAACAAAAGAAATAAAACGTCATAAAACGTGCAGAGGTGGTCATAATTTAATAATAATAATAATGATTTACTTTATTCCACAAACATTACTTGTGATACACAGAATGGAATTTTCAGCATTAATCACTATATCGCATCTAATTTCCTTAAATTATAAATAAAAATTAATCACACAGAAAATCTTCCACATTTACAATAGAGGTAGTGTCAAAAACATGCAGCGTATAAAATGGAAATAACAATAATAATGATAACAGCTAGGGTAATAATAATAAGAATACAAGCGAAAATCCCCATGGGCTTGTTTCACACAGTATTGTCGTTATATGCGGTATAGAAATCCTAACATGTTTAAAAATATTGAATATAATGTTCTCTTTACATGATATGGTGAGGGGAAAACAAAGATTACAGTAGGCATAGAGATAAGTTGGTGTTTGCAATTATGAAAGTAAAACAAACAAAGAAGCAACAGGACCATAAATATAATAGAAATAATAAAAGTAAAACTTGAAGGAGGTATATAAGGATGGATGGATGGAGGAAATCGTTTATTTACTAGATGAAAACAGGTTAGTTAATTGTTGCCTGACAATATTTTCACTATCACATAAAATACGTGCCAAGTATGGTGCCCGACCGAAAGCTGCTACCTTGACGTGGTGGTCGGGCTTGAACACCGCAATGACCTAATCAAGCTATACTGGCTGAGACTTATGTCTCTTGAGGTTCTACCATGCCAGGCAGGTTGTTTGGATAGCGGTTAAACAAAAAGCAGCTACCCAATCCAACATCATGTTCAATACAAAACCACAAAATTTCATGCCGGATCGGCCGTGGCCCGGATTAACAACGACCGCGCTTCCTGCTGCCGTGTCACAGGGCAGGAGTGATAAATATGCTACTGAGACACACCAAACAAAAGAGAACGAACAAAAACAGGCCGCGTGTGACCGGCCTCAAGCAGTTGTCCCCTGGGCTCTGCGGTCACGCAACCAACTTCCACGGTGTGGGCAGCCGGGAAGTAACAATCGCCCTCACAATCCGAAATGCACACGAAACCTCTCTATTACTCACTCATCTTTGTCTTCATCTTCATCTCTATCATCTTGCCTTCCTTCCACTGATGCAACTCCTCGACTTGATAGCTCTCCACTTCCTCTCCACTCTGCGTCCACTAAAAACGATGGAAGCCAAAAAACCACCACCGACAGCCTCTTAAAGCCGCGCCACCAATTTCATATAGGAGCTCTTAATGTTAGGACACTTTGCCAAATAGGACAACAAGCATCACTAGCCAAGACCCTGGCATCACGAGCCATTGATGTATGCTGTGTTTCAGAAACACGCATACAAGACCCAAGTGTGGTTATTCACCTAACCCCACCTGGCCAACAGGTTGAATCTGCAAAATTCACCTTGAGGGTGTCAGGAGATGCCACAGCTAGTTCACGAGGATTAGCTGGCGTAGGGATAGCTTTGAGTACTAGGGCAGAAAAGACATTGCTTGACTGGATCCCGGTAGATAGCCGAATGTGTGCTGTCCGCCTGAACGGATCAGTAAGAAGGAGGAAGGACTGCACTACTCGCCGATGCCTTTTCGTAATCTCCGCCTACGCCCCCACTGACTGCAGTTCAGATGAAACGAAGGATGAGTTCTACCAAAAGCTGTCTAGTTTGGTGCGAAAGGCTAAACGCTCAGACATAGTCGTTCTAGCTGGTGACTTTAACGCTCAAGTAGGGAAATTGTGTCAATCTGAGAAGGATGTCGGTGGCACCTATGGAGTTCCGTGCCAGCGAACCGACAACGGTGACCGTCTCCTACAGTTCTGCTCTGATAATCATTTGTTTCTTGTAAGCACTAACTTCAAACACAAGGAGAGACACTGTTTGACTTGGAGACCCCCTTCATCAAACCAACGCTGGACACAAATAGACCACATAGCAATAAGCTATCGTTGGCGTGGGTCGGTAGGAGATTGTCGCTCCTTCTGGAACACGTGCGTAGATACCGACCATGCACTGGTCCGCGCTCGGGTGTGCTTACGACTGAACGGACGTAGGAAACAGCTGGCGGTAAAACCATCACGTCCCCAGCTCGATCAGGAAACTAAATCCGTATTTGAGGAAGAACTAGCTAAACACATATCTGTGTTCGACAGCTGTGCTCACCCTGAAGAAGCTTGGAAAAATATCCAGGCAGCCATAGATACAGCTGTAAAAGCTGTGAATAAGGTAAACCCAAAGGTGAGTAAAAACCACTGGATCTCCACCGCCTCATCCGAACTGATAGATGCTAGAAGACTTATTCCGGCGAGCTCCGAATTCAATGAGGAGCGAAAGCTGCACAAGAGGAAACTTACGAAAAGTCTCCGCAAGGACCGTGAACAGTGGTGGGCGACAAAAGCCAAAGAGATGGAGAAAGCTTCGAGGATAGGCAACACCAGGCAACTCTTTGGACTCATCAGGGAAACGGGTGGGAGAAGACAAATCATTAGTGAGACAATCTCGGAAAAAAATGGCACTATAATTAGCTCCCAGGATAGACGACTGGATCGTTGGAAAGAGCATTATGAGGAGCAGTTTAATTTGCCCACAGCCACGCTCAACCTTCCGAGCATCCAACACCTCCCTGAATGGGATATAAACACAGGTCCTCCGTCACTAACTGAGGTTACTAAAGCTGTCACCAATCTGAAACTAGGCAAAGCAGCGGGACCTGATGGAATGACTCCAGAGGTATTTAAGTACGGTGGAGACAGCTTACTGTCCGGATTAACTGAGGTACTAGGCAGCGTCTGGGAATCAGAAGAAGTCCCATCGGGTTGGTGTAAGTCACTGATTATCCCCATATACAAGAAGGGAGACAAGTCTTCCTGTGATAATCACAGAGGGATTAGCTTGACTAATATAGTATCTAAAGTCTTAGGCTCAATAATCATGCGTAGACTGAGTGGTGCTCGGGAAGCACAAACACGAGAGAGCCAGGCAGGCTTTAGACCAGGAAGAGGGTGTATTGATCATATCTTCACCCTCCGACAGATTCTAGAACATAGGCATTCCTACCGGCGTCCAACAGTCATTATATTTCTTGACCTAAAGGCAGCATTCGACTCTGTCGATCGGGAAGTTCTCTGGAGATGCTTGGCTGTAAAGGGAATTCCGAGAAAATATATTGCACTGATTAAGGCACTCTACTCGTACTCATACAGCCAGGTGAGGGCTTACGGCGAGCTGTCATCTGAACTGATGACGACCAGTGGTGTCCGTCAAGGATGCCCATTATCTCCTTTTCTATTCAACTTCATCATAGATGTGTTAATGGACTTAACCCTAGGTGACTTCAGCGACTCAGGGATTGACTTGCTACCGGGGAATAATCTCGTTGACTTGGAATATGCAGACGATATAGTCCTTCTAGGCGAAGACGCTGACGAAATGCAGAGTCTTCTAAACACCTTGAGCCGCAATCTACGAATGTTTGGCATGCGATTCGCTCCCGCCAAATGCAAGATGATGTTACAGGACTGGACTACATCGACGCCTAGTTTAAAAATAGGAAGTGAAGTGGTAGAGCACGTTGACCGCTTCACTTATTTGGGAAGTACCATCAGCCCCAACGGGCTGATCTCTGACGAAATCTCAGCACGAATACAAGGGGCTCGTTTCGCATTTGTTAGTTTACGCCGACTCTGGCGTAGACGAGATGTTCGACTATCGACCAAAGGGCGGGTGTACTGCTCATCAGTCCGCTCCGTCCTCCTTTATGGTTGTGAGACCTGGCCACTGAGAGTGGAAGACATGAAAAGACTAGCTGTCTTTGATCATAGGTGCCTGCGTTCTATTTCCCGTGTAAAGTGGCATAATAAGGTGAGCAACATGGAGGTTAGGCGTAGAGTTCTAGGTAAACAGGGGAAATCAATCGACGAAGTCGTGAAGCTACAAAGACTGAGATGGTTAGGACATGTGTTACGTATGCCAAGCCATCGCCTCCCTCGACGAGCAATGTTAGCGGATATAGGGTCAGGCTGGAAAAAAGCTAGCGGCGGTCAAACAAAAACTTGGCATCAGTCAATGAAATCCACAACAGTTGGTCTAAGCCACGTAGGAAGGTGTAGACTTCCAGGCTGGGGTCCTCGGGACGGTAAAAATCTATGGTTGGAAACAATTGGTGACATGGCTCAAAATCGTTCTCAGTGGCGCAGATGCATCCACTCCCTGTGACTTATGATCTTCAATGAAACTGTTTTGTATTTCTTTATTACTCCTTTGTCTCACACCTCTGCTCACTGTTTCTATTATGCTTTTCTTGTACTTTCTTCTCTTGCTTCGCGTGCTACACGGAATGTGGCGACTTGAACTTCCGCACATTTGTGCAAAGTTCTATGTCGAAAACAGACAGACAGACATGGTATCATAGAAGTTTTATACTTAGACGTGCGAGAATACAGTTTTCTGAAGTTACTTCTTGTTCTACCTGAGAAGGAGATGCAAGGTGAAAGCTGAGGGAGGGTAAAGTGGATGCTCCAAATCAGACAATATCCCTTTAGAAAATTTATTGCATGAAGTCAAGTGCTTATCGACAACGACGTTAACTATGTGGTCCACTAGGACACCACTCACCCTACTGACTGACAGTCTTCAGCATTCTACGAGTTGTGACATAGTCCTTTTTAATCAAACCAGGAAAGAATAAGGGTGAACACTAAAGAAGAATAGGTAGGATGCAAGAGTTTATGAACTGTAAGAGGAGGAGGGGTTGAGTTTTACCCAAGTGTCTTAACTTCCTAATGTAAAATGTCAATCTACTCACAGATATTTCTTCTCTGTCGCTTTGTACTTTTTTAAATGTAAGAAGAAAAGAGTTCACATGGGGATAAAGAAGCATTTATGTAAAAACAATGCAGCATGGTGGATGACCTTTAATGAGATTATTGACGCTATATGTATAGAAAAACCATGATTAGTCATATGGTTTAATATCCTATATTTT